AAAATGTATCCTCATACTGGAAATAGTTTGTTATTCAGTTTCTTATTACCCTTACTTGTGATAAGATTTTTTAAACACCTGATTGTTTTAATCTACGGGTGCCCTTTCTTCTGCCTTATCTGGGCTGCACTGAATGAAGAGAAACTGTCTTGCACCTCAACTAAAATATATACTATGGTGAATGTATGTAAATAACAAAAATTCTTTAACTGTAGCATTAAAATGAAACAATACAAACCCAAATTTAACAATTTTAGAAGAAACTTTATATGTCTGCTTAATAACAATAGATGCTTGTGTTCATAGGCACACACGTAGTTTTGATGAAGCAAATTAATATCAGTACATTTTACTATGCCTGTCGTACAAGAGCATATGATGTCTGATACACCAGGTTTTCCATTCAAGAGACTGTGCAAGAGGGTGCAAGAGGCAGAATTACAATTTATTGTGGGCCCCTAAACCTAGCATTTCCATGACATCTGTTCAGGCTGTGGACTGCACAATTGAATCAGGAAAAACAATGTAATATTCTTAAAAGTTGATGATATTTTGGGGCTGCATTACTTATTAGCTATTTAGCCAAGGTTTATATATGCCTGTTCTAATCTCTCTCTTCAAATTTAAATGCACTCTTTACCAAAAAAAAAAAAAGAGTTTTTTGCTTTCTTGTTTGTTTGTTTAAATCAAAAGGCGTGAACAATTTCATAAAGGAAAGTGGCCACTGAAAGCTTGAATCCCAGTGTTGGGGTACATGAAGATGAAAGGAAATAGAGGAGTTGAGCTCTGTGGATGGAACAAGACTAAACTGGAACTGCTCAGTGTTTATATAGTATTCAATCACAGTTTTCCAAGCCTGCCCTCAAAGAAACATGGGAAGTACAGGTGTAGTTTAAACAATAACCTATAGTGCTTGAAAAACAAGGCCTTATAGAGGGCTATAAACTCAAGATGAGGATTACATATAAGCAGGAAATCGATCCATGACAAGGTGATCATAATATTGACAACCCAATCAAAGATAAGTTCCTAGTCCTATGGGAGAAAGAACCGTACGTTTCAAATTACATCAGAGAGGTAAAATATTAGGAAGGGAGGTATTGGAAATCCTATACCCCAGCTTTAGCAGATACTTATAATTTGGGTTGTGTTACTTGCAAAATTAGCAACTTTGTAACTGCCTGTGTATTAGTCAGCTTTCCCATTGCTGAAACCAAATGCCTGACACCTACAACTTAAAGGAGGAAAACAGTTTATTCAGTTCATGCTTTCAGTCCTTGGTAGTCAGGCTCCAAGGCTGAAACATCATGGCAGACAGGTGTGGTAGAGAACATGGCCCACTTCACAATAGCTGGGAACCAGAGCAGGGAACAGGAAGCATCCAGGAACCAGATATAGACCCCAAGGTCATGTCTCCATGGCCCACCCACACACACCCAGAAGTGTGGCTTCCTAATCCCCTCTGTGGCTCCCAAGCCAATCAAATGGACAATTAAACTAAACTGGCACACTTGCTTTTCTCTGACCTCAACAGTGTGATCATGGGGACCAAACTAAAGAGCTCTGTTTCAGTCTGAGGCAGCTAGTTCAACCCTTTCCTTTAGTTTTACCTGATTCCAAGCAGCTTTCCCACTCTCTTTTGGCAGGGACCCTCTCCCACACTCCAGAAATTAAGGGCAAGTATGTTATTTAGCAAATGAAAAAGAGGGAAGGGGGCTGGCTTTAATTAAATGCAGAACATGACATTGACTTGAATGCATTGAGTTATGAATTCTCCCTGTCATTATATCTTAAGCCTTTTATGAACCCAGTCATCACCCATGACAGACAGAATAAGAAGTCTGCTCATCCTTCCCCAGTCTATCAGTCTTGGCAACCCCCGCCTACTGAAACACAAAGCTTATTACAATGCCTGTGTGTGGAAATACCAAAGTATCTTCCAAGATAAAACAATGAGTGCTAAACAAAAGGAGCATTAAAGAAAACTATCAGTACTTTCAGGCCTCAAAGCGCAATATATCTTTTGAAGATAATGACATTTTGGACACAAAAAATCACTACTCTGCAACAGAAATATCTTATATTCAATCTGCCTCTGTAAACATATGTTTTGAGCTGTGGATGGTGCTTATTTCATTAAGTCAGTATAATTTTGGAATTGAAATCATTATGCTATTACATTGCAATGCTTTCTAAAGCATAATGTTCACCATAATGTTAACTTTCTTTACGCTTCTAGCTTCCATCCTATTTCCCGGCACCATGGCAATTATCCATGACAATAAGAATTGTCTGATGGTATCATTTTGTCATCCAGGAATACAGGTACTCACACAAAAGTTTTACAATTAACTTTGGAAGAGGAGATCAAAGACTAAACCCTAACACTCTGTGACTGAATGGACATCTATCAGAATTAGCATAATAACTACATTGGCAAATTAAAGGCTTACCAAGTAGAAATTCCTGTATTTGTTTATGGTTGGGTACTGCCCCAGGTGATTTCCAGAAGCTAGAATCCACAGCCCAAAACAACACCTCCAGGCAAACAGGACAGCCCAGGAGATCCCAAGCCTAGACTGATGTAGGTAACTTGCAGTCCTGAAAACTCAGGCCTCATCTAAGGGAGGTGATTCTAGGGAAAGATATGCTTCAGAGTTACTCTTTCAGGAAAGACAAAGTAAGTGTCTCTATCACTGACATTTTGCACATATTTGCTTGGAAAAGAAAATACATACACACACCATAAATGTTTGTAACACAAATGGCAAAGTTCTGATCTCAACCCACTCACCACATAAACAACCAACAGACAGGGCACTGCTGGCTCACTGGTCCAAGCCTGATTAAAGACGCCCTGCATTGTGCTTCAAACGTCTTTTAGGATACTCTCTCTGGCAAAGCCGAGCCCTATCATTACTCTCCTTAGGGCAGCCACACTCAGAAACCTGGGTCCCCAGGGATGTTGTCATGTTCCATAAAGGCCACATTGTGTCTCTAGTTGTTACTCTTCACAGTTCATTTTATATGCTCTGCATGGTGTGCGTTTGATTTTCAGAGCATGACTCATGCCTTTTAAGTTACTCCTCAAACCTACAAATGGAAAAAAGGAGTGATGGGTTAGCAGACTGGAAGAGAAAGAAAGTGTCTTCCTTACCCTGGACAGTAAGACTTTTTAAAGAATGCACTAAGTGACTTCCTGGCTCACAGAGATGGGCTAATCTGAGAAGAGTCAGGAGTAGTGGGTGTTCTCCTAACATTATTTTTGGACAGATCATCATTTTTGTTACTGACAGCAATAAATCTCCTTTCCTTTCAGTAAAATAACAGAGCAGCATGGAATGTGAGAACTCAGCTAGATCATTAAATCTATTGGGTTGAACCTAAAGATTCAAGAGGCTTAAAGTTATGTTTCAAAAGTACTGAATATCATTGTTACCTGTGTTATTTGTGATGGGCTTCAAAATCTGGGTAAATACATGTCCCATTTGGAAGAAGGTAGAGACTATTCTCCAGATTCACGTGAAACAGGAGGGGCCCCACCCAGCACCCAGGGCTTTGGGCTGTTAAGATTTGCTCTGCTTGGGACAGGGAAAGCACACTCTTATTTGGCTTCAAATAGGGGCTTGTGTGTGGGTTGTGTGAAGACGAAAGTGAGGAAGGGAAGCGAGAACAGGTCTTTGTTGAAAAGCCCTCAGTCTCCCCAGCAAAGGGGTGGTCAGAAGACACATTCAGCACGGGTCAGATGAATTTGTTTAGACTCGGTCCCACCTACCTGCGTGTCCACTGCACCCTCTTCTATTCCAGCAAAATGTGCTGGTACATTCCTGATGATGTTGATTGTTGGAATCAGAGAGAGGCTGAATTTCTCTGGGCTGTCTGTTTTCTGCAGCAAAGAATCTGCTTGTGAGAAACAGGACCCAAGAACAGACATGGTAAGAACTTGCACAAGCATAAGAATTCTGTAATCTTTGGAAGGCTGAGGCAGGAGGATCACATGTTTGCCACCAATCTGGGCAACTTCATAAATCTCAAAAGTACAAAGGGATCAAGGTGTATCTCACTGGTGGGGCACTTGCTTAGCAGGCACAGGACTCAGTTTAACCCTCAGTACCATAAGAAATAGAAGAAATCTGGGAAACTTGCAGAGCTCTTCCAGAGACTCCCATCAATATTTACACATTTTTATGTGCATGTCTTGCATAAAGGTGTATGTGTGAATACAAGCAAAAATTGTGGGGTATTGCTTGGGCCCAGGTAGGAGCTCATTGCTCATTTTTCATTCTTCTCATTCTCTAAGAGAGTGGTTACTTTTAGACAAATCTTCCAAAGTCTTGGTGAAACCCTGGGGCCTTCCAGAGAAAATGTGTCCTGTCATTGACAGCTCTGACTCTCCTGGGTGGGGAGCTCTAGAATCACCATAATCACAGTGTTCTTTGTTCTTTGGTTGTTTTGACTTGTTTTTTATACTTTTCAAAGGACTTCTACATCCATGATGTCATTTTATACTAATGACACCTCAGCAAGGTGAAAGATAGCTGTTATTATAACTCAGTCACTCTGCTGTCAACAGAGCCATGCCTGCAGCTGAGGACTCACAGCAAGGAAGGCAACCTCATCATTAGGGCCTTTTCCACAAGGTCCCCAACACTGACAGCATGGCAGCCATTGCAGGTGGCTGGAAGCCAATCTCTCCCCGGTGCACAGACGCCTCCAACTCTGTCTTGGGGGAGCAGAGTGGGGTGAGAATGAGCACCGCTGTGCTGTAGGATTGCTTTTCCTCTCCTAAGTCTATAGGAGCACGCCAGGTGTGAGGTCTTATGGGGACTGGTGTGACTTTTACTCTTCATTCACTCTGTGAGGCTGCAACGCAACAGAATAGAACCATCTCTCCTCTCGGTTGAGAGTTGAGAGTACGTTCTTTGATAAAGCAGCAAGGAAGTCAAAGTCTCTACATTTTAAGGAAAGAGTCACAATGTTCTCTTCTTTTTTCCCCCCAGGCAGTGATGGTCAAGTTTATGTGCTGAATGGCTGGACATTTCGTGGCTAGGTGAGTCATTTTATCTTCCCCAATAAATTTTGTACTCATAGCATGAAGTAAAAACAAATATGTAGGTGGTCATCAGTACCTGGTACATAGCCTAGGTTGGTTAAATGTCATCTACTGTTATAATTACATGCTTAAGAATGCAAGAGACAAATTAATTGGCATGTCTTCTGAAATGGCTATCCCTGCCACATGGTATTTCAGATTCCTAGGACTAAGAAGATAAGGGTGAAGGTTTTTGCTTTTCTGTCTTTGGGGCTGGGGATCGAACCCAGGACTTCATGCACATTAAGCAGGCTCTCTTTCACTGAGTACAGTGCCAGCCATAATGGGAATAGTTTTAAATAATCAAGACAAGTGTCCATTTTAGGAACTGGAGTGAGCCATGCTTGAAGAGGCCAACATTTACAACAACATCAGCGTAACGTGACCAATCACTGAGTCTACGTGGAAGCAGAAGATCCTTTTCCCTAAGCAAAAGATCACCTTCACCTATTTCTACTGAAATAAATTGTTAGAGTGAGGGAAGCAGGGTTACTGAGTCCAGCAGGGCCATTGACATTTGTTTGATGATCTCCCTGGTCACACACAATTCTGACAGCAAGAGCTTAAAATTATTTTCAAATGTATCCAATTCACAGCCAAGTGAAAATGTTTCTGTACCAAGAATAATCTTACATTAAGCTTTTTTTTTTTTTTTTTCCAGCAGCCCAAATTCAACCAGCTGGAATATTTTTTAGACGCTATTCTATTCAACCTTTAAATGTAGGATATGATTTTAATGTGAAATCTGCATTTCATCAAAGATGAGACACAGTGTCCTTGGCTTAATTATTCTGTGGAAAATGAATAATTTTTACTACTACACATTTAACAGGTAGCAAGAACACAAACAGAAGAAAATGCAGTTCTCCTGTGAAGTGCTCAATGCACTGATTCCATCCACACTGATGAAGAATAGGGAAGTACCTGGTATTATATTGTCCATATGCCTGATTAGTGTATGGTGCAACAGTCATGGTTAATGTCACTGAATATCTACACATGTAAAAATAATTTAGAACATGAATAAGTAAAAATAATAATACTTTATAGTTGCACAACACTTTATAACGCTATTTTGCCATTACATTTAGCTATTTTACTATTATATCATTTTATCAGCTCTGGCAGCAAATCAGCAAGTAGGGTACAGGTAAGTAATGATTATAATTGTGACGATCCAATGTGGTGGGAATAAAACCAAGACTTGAATCTTAAGAAAAAGACTCCTAAGATCATTTCTTTCTTCCCAAGACTCCTTTCTTTCTGTCATGCAGCTTCCTAATAAATATTTACATTTTGCACATTGGGGCAGGAGGTGTCATAACTATATGTATGGACTCTGACATGAAAAGAGAAGAACGAGTTAATGAAAATCAAAATCAGCTGGGTCCTTGATTGAACTTTTAAGCCATCAAGGTGACCTGAGTCACCTTGTTTAAAAGAGCTGGCACCTCCAGTTTTCACCTAAAAGAGGGCGTTTAATTCTGATTCTATCCACTTCATCAAGTTTTTAAGTAAAGAAGGATCTAATGAATATGAATCTGCTTAAAAAAAATAAAACTCTTCCAAATGAGAGCATGAAGATGACTCTCTGAATGTGTGTGTGTGTGTGTGTGTGTGTTACTGAGGAATGTGCATACTAGGCAAGTGCTTTACCACTGAGCTACAACTCCAGCCCTTTTAAACTTCTTAAAATTTCAAGATAGAGTTCTAAATTTCCCAGGCTGGCCTTGAATTTGCTGTTCTCCTGCGTCAGCCTTCTAAGTAGCTGGAAATACAGGAAAGTGCTGCTGGGCCTAGCATGAAGATAACTTTTAAAATATGGTATAATTTCCAGGCACGTTGGTGCAAACCTGTAATCCCAGCACTTGGGAGGCTAAGGCAGGAGGATTGCCACAAATTCAAAGCTAGCTTAGGCTATGTAGTGAGTTCAAGGCCAGCCTAGACTATAGTGAGGCTCTATCATCAACCAAAAATAAAGGTAGATTGTAATCACACAGACACATTTGAACTGCCTGAATGTCCTAAACACCTATAAGGTCCAATCTGCTGTTGACCACGTAGATGATTCCAGGAACGAATGGTGGAGTGCACAGCTGCTGTTTGGGTCACATAACTCTCCTTTCCCTTCTGATGGCAAAGAGTTCCATATTTACTTTAGGAAATCCCTCCCGGTGGACATAGGCCTGAAGCAAGCTTCACCAAGACTCCCTCCTCCCTGGGCTCAGTCACATTTTAGGGAAATAAAGCACTGAGCAAAATGATACAGAGCCCAAGAAAGGGGAGCTTATTCACCTCCACGGAAGTAGTTGGAAGAGACATTTTCTGTTTCCTGTATTTTCCCCCTTTCCAGACCCATTCCTTCAGCCACCCCATTGATTCTGTAAACTTTTCTATTGTCCTTGCAATAAACTGTATCGATGGCATCTAGCTGTTCTTTCTGTGTTCTGCAGCTGGCTAATATCAGTCCCAGCAACTTGTAAACAAAACACTTTGACAGTAAGAGCGGTGCTGCAAAACCGACAGGCTTATACAGCCAGAGGGAAGTGGAAATCAAGCCAGGTGATTATCTATCAATCAGCTGCACAAGAAAAGTCAGGAAGATCCAGCCAGGCAAATAATAAGCATTTGGACAACATACATAATGTTCACCCATTTACCTTTTGTAAGTCAAAAGTCTAAATGATTCTTTAAAAACTGAAAACGTTTGTGTCATGACAATAAAAATTAGTGCTAAAAAGAAACTGCACAAATCATACACACACACTCAAACTAGGTATAAGGTGTTTATGTGACTGTGTGCATATTGCTATTAGCTTTATAAGCTATGTACTGGCAACACTGTTAATGAGGTAGTCAACTTTTTGTATGAATCAAGACCTAGGCTACTAAATTATAGTTGGTATTAGCTGTCACACGATCAAATCACAAAAGCTGCAATCAAAAACCTTCGTAAGTGTTCTGGAATCAGATACAAATCTATCAATATTTCTGCAATGAGTGTTCAACAGCCAGAAATGAGAAAAAGAAATTCAAAGAGTTTCCTACCCAAACAAAAATAAAATTACCCTGCATTTTCTTTAAACATTAACTTAGATCTAATGTTCCCTCTTTCAAGGAACCTTCTGTTCTGATTACTATTGTTATCTGGCAAACCACTCCAAAACTCAGAGATATAAAACAACCATTTGATTGTGTGCGTGGGTTCCATGGGTCAGGAATTCATTGTGTAGAAGAGATGGTTTGACTCTGTTTCCTGATTTCTGGACACTCACCTTGGAAGTCCTAACAGCTGAAGTCACTCTGCATCTGGGGGTTAACATAGTGTGCAGATGCCTTCCTCTTCATGTATGCTGCTGATCCTGGCCATCAGTTAGGAACTCACCTGGGGCTGGCTACCAGAGCACCTACCAGCAGCCCCTCCACCTGCCCTAGTCATCCTTACAGCCTAACTGCCTCAAGGAAATCGGACTTATATGTAAGCTGAGGGCTGTTTGCATGATGTTCCAGCAAACAGTGAGAGACACGAGTCTCTTTTGCTGACCTAGCCTCAGAAGTTATCAGTGACATTTTCACAGAGCACCATGTAGGCTTACAAGCTCATTTAGTTTCAAGAGGAGAGCAATCCACACAACTCACAGTGGGTATCAGTGGGTGATCAGAGAATGTGGGGTGGAGGCAGTGTCGTGGCAGTCCTTGGAAAACTCAATTTGTCACTTCTTCCCAGGTCTCCCATTTTCAGCTAGAAATAAGCTTTTTCTTCTCTAAACTTCACAATGCATTATTTTCAAATTGATGCTTACCAATTGTTCACCTTATATTGCAACTATTATGGATGTATTTCATCTTTGCCATGCCTGTGTGAACTTCTAGTTTTCTTTTTCCTTTCCTTCCTTTTTTTTCTTCTGCATCTTCAGTAGTACATACCACATACACATAGAAGAGCTCTTAGCACTTAGTAAGAATGCAAAATAAAGTTTATTGAAGAAATGTGAATTGCTTTAAACCAGTTTCAGCTGTGATTATTATATACCTGGAAGATATAAACACCTTTGGGAGGGGGATGGGGGAAGGAAGAAAAATGCAAGGAAAGAAAAAGAAAAAGAAAGGGGGAAAAGCAAGAAACAAACAAAGAAGATGGAAAGTATGTTCATCTTCAAAACATTTTAATTGTTGTATTTTTAAAGTTCCCAGATAAAACCAAGATTCTCTTATCTACCTTTTATGAACATCAGTGGTGCAGTTGAATGTCCCCGGAGAAGAACCTACAGGAACTTCAAACAGCCCTTGATTGCTGCCTGCCAACTGTATTACAGCTCCCTGGTTCCTGTGCCTACTCTCCCAGAAGTCTACTTCACACTTCTCTTCTTAGCCTCCATCTTTCCCACGTCACCTTTCCTTCATGCTCCTTCTCTTCTCTAACAAAACAAAACAGTTCAAAGAGCAGCCCTGTAGATCCTCTACTCAGCTCTGTACACAGACCTTCCGCCTTCCCATGCTGGGACCAGCTGTGCCCCATCTGATATTAGTGTCTCTGCCCTAATAGGGGACCTCACTCACTGTCACATCATCAGTCACTCTGTTCCCCACACCAACAGCTCCTTCAGTGGATTAATATGCTGCTATTTCTTCCTTCTTAAAAGATTCTTCTCTTGACTGTACTTCTCCTACCCACCTTTTGCATTCTTTCATAAAAAATATTACTTGTTCTTTATACTCACTGATTCCTCTCATTCTTTTTCATATTCCATCCTAAACTCATTCCAATGAGGTTTCCCCCTTATCGCTACATCAAAACTACTGTTATCAATGTCATCGTGTACCATCTCAATACCAAATCCAATTTCCAATTCTCAGTCCTCATATTGTTCAGTCCAACAGCAGAACTTGATGGCGTTCCCTTCTCCTTTATACACTTTCTTCATTTTGCTTTCAGAAACACCATATATCCCCACCCTCCATCTTTCTGCTACATTTTCTGTCTCCCTTTCTGCCTCTTCCTCTTTTCCTCTTAATGTTGGAATGCTCCAGGCATAGACCATGACCCTTTTCTCTATGTACCTCTACTACTTTTATAAAACTTTTACCCTTGTAGCTTTAAATACCCTCTATAGTTCTCAGTCCTCATATTGTTCAGTCCAACAGCAGAACTTGATGGCGTTCCCTTCTCCTTTATACACTTTCTTCATTTTGCTTTCAGAAACACCATATATCCCCACCCTCCATCTTTCTGCTACATTTTCTGTCTCCCTTTCTGCCTCTTCCTCTTTTCCTCTTAATGTTGGAATGCTCCAGGCATAGACCATGACCCTTTTCTCTACGTACCTCTACTACTTTTATAAAACTTTTACCCTTGTAGCTTTAAATACCCTCTATATAGACACCTCTTCGTGCCTAACATCCAGCTTTCAAGACTTCTCTCACTTGTTGGCAACTCCATTCTTCAAGTTGCTCATCCTAAAAGTCTTGACTTCTACTTATATCCCACATCCATTCTACATTCAAACTATGACCGTTTTCCTCCACTGTTCCCAGCCACCATCATATTTCCTTTTACTGGAATTCCCTTGTAGTCTCCTTTCTCTTTCTTTCATCTGTGGTCTGTTTTCAATAGTAAAACCAAAATATTGGCTAAAACATTAGTTATTTCATATCTTCCTCCTGCTTAAAGGCCTGCAGTGGCCTCCATCACATGCAAAGCCAAGAATACAACAATGACCAACAGGTTGGTACATGATTTGACCCCCTGGTTACTTCTATGACTTCGCCTTTTATGGCTCTTCTCCTCCTTCACTGATCGTGCTGTCTTTTTTCCTCCACTGTTCCCAGCCACCATCATATTTCCTTTTACTGGAATTCCCTTGTAGTCTCCTTTCTCTTTCTTTCATCTGTGGTCTGTTTTCAATAGTAAAACCAAAATATTGGCTAAAACATTAGTTATTTCATATTTTCCTCCTGCTTAAAGGCCTGCAGTGGCCTCCATCACATGCAAAGCCAAGAATACAACAATGATCAACAGGTTAGTACATGATTTGACCCCTGGTTACTTCTATGACTTCACCTTTTATGGCTCTTCTCCTCCTTCACTGGCCTTGTGCTGTCTTCAAACATTCCAGGCATGACCCCACAAGAAGACGTTTGCCTTGACTCATCCACTCTGTGGGCTGCTTTTTCTCAAACATCTGAATGGCTCATCACCTGCAAGTCTTTATTCAAATACTATCTTCTGGGGCCAGGGATTTGGCTCCGTGGTTCTACAGCCTGCCTCACAAGTGCAAGGACCTGAGTTCGATCTCTGGTACAAAAAAAAAAAAAAAATACTGTCTTCTTAATAAGTCCATCCTGGGCACTCTACAAACCTGCAGAGACCACCAGCTCTCTGCATTCTTAAGACCTCAGTTCTGGTGTACATCTAGATGTTCCCCAAGTGTCTTGTGCCCTCACAGGCAGGGATTTTGGAAGGTGATTGAATCACTGAGGCTTGTAGCTGACTTGCTGTTAGAATGTGGGGTCTGGTCTGAAGATCTGGATCATAGGAAGTGAGACCTGGAAGAATGTTTTCCCTTTCCTGTTTTTCTCTTCACTCTCTCTGCTTTCTGGATGCAATGTCATAAGCAGCTTTTCCTCTGCTATGTCCCTCTGCCATGCTGTTCTGCCTTGGATGCCAGAAGACTATGGATTTAAAACATGAGTCAAAATAAAACTGTCCTTTAAGGTCTACCATCTAGAATATATGAAGAACTAAAAAAAATTAGACCCCTCCAAATTATAAAGATCTGATTCCAAAATGGGCATCTGAAATGAACAGACACGTCTCAAAGAAGGAAATGCAGCAAATAAACATATGAAAAAATGTTGAACATCACTGGGCATTCAAGAGGTGAAGATGAAAACAATACTGAGATTCCACATCACCCCAGAAAGAATGGCTACTATCAAGAAATCTAACCAATAACAAATGCTGGTGTGGGTGTAGAAAGAAAGGAACCCTTCTCTATTGTTGGTGGGAGTGCAGACTGGTGCAACCAATGTGGAAATCAATATGGAGATACCTCAAAGAACTAGGATTAGAGGTCCCATTTGACCCACTATCCCTCTACTGGCTATCTTCCCAAAAGAATTAAAAGAATAATGCCATAGCTATATATGTGCCCCCATGTTTATAGCAGCACAGTTTGTAATACTTGGAAACAGCTCAAATGCCCATCATTTGGAGACTGGATAAAGAAGATGTGGTTTTTCTACAAAATGGAGTACTACTCAGCCATAAAGAACAAGAAGCTAGAGACATTTATAGTTAAATGGATGCACACTGATGCATACTCTTAAGTGAAATAAATAGGATGCACATGTATAAATACACAATACAAGACCATCATTCTCCCATTCTGTCCAGCCTCCAAGTCCCAGCTTTAGACTTTGTGATGATTGGTACTGCATGGTGGATACAGAACTGAAACAATTTACTCTGAAACAGTGATACAACCTCAGAGAGGAGTTGTGTTAGTTATTCTAGAGATTAAAAAGTCAAAAGACAAAGTAATGAAATAGAAAGGCATTGGGCCTTGGAAAGGTTACATAATTTTCATTTCTTCAATTGAAAAATTAAAAGGATGGGTTTGATCACTAAGCTTCACCCATGTAATGAAGTATAGATTATTCAGACTCAAGGTCAGATAGCTAGATTCAAATTTCTTTTCTCACCCAGCAGCTTTAGAAAATTGCCTAACTTCCCCCTCCACTCTGAATGGTATCATGAAAAACCATCAAAGCCTAGCTGGGTGTAGTGCACACCTTTAATCCCAGCATTCCGGAAGACTGATCCAGGAAAATCGCAAGTTTGAGTCCAGCCTGGGCAACCTGGTGACTTAGTAAGACCCTAATTTAAAAACAAACAATAAAAATGGCTGAGGATGTATCTCAGTACAGAGGCCCAGGACTCAATCCCTAGTACTGAATAAAGAAAAAAAGGAAGGAAAAGACCAGGGTGAGATGGAGGGAGGGATGGGGGGGGGTTGTGAGAGAGAGAGAGAGAATTACCAGACCCTGGAAGAGAATGGGCAGGGTGTGTCCTTGGAAGAGAGGTTTAAATGATTTAAGGGGGCACAGAGGTGACCACCTCCTTCATAAAGCTAGTCTCTGTAATGCAAATATAGCTATGACAAACACAGACCCTTCCACTTAAAAATAAATGTTCCATAATAAATGTCAGTGTTCCAAAGAGGATTTGTAATAAAACAGCCAAGATGTTATCTTTCATCCATTATCTCTTCCCATGATGAAAACCTGGAAGGAAATGTGTCTCAACAGAGATTTGTTTCAGACTTGGGGCAAATGACTGTAGTACAAAACCATAACACCAAGGCAAAGGAGACTTAAAGGCAGGCCTGTAAAATCCAGCCAGCCCAATGCCCTGGGGTCCTCTTCAAATTCACAGGAAACAGAACCGTGCATCCACACCCTCACTGCACAGCCAAAACAAGTCAGCTCAGCAAGATTTTTGTTCAGCTCTCATTTGCTTTACCTGTAAATAAGGTCGAAGGTAGCCACGGACTGGCTAATATTTCTCTATAGTCTCCCCCAAATTTTCATAGGGTGCATCTCTTTCAAAGTAGATAGAGACAAATGGTACCCCCCACACACTCTCTCCTTTATCCTCTCACCCACTCTTCCTTCCTTCTTCCCTGCCTCCCTCCCTCCTTTTCAAGAATTGGCTCCATATCCATCATAACACTGTTTGTAGGGTTAAGAAACTATGGTGGTAGTTTCTGGAGAGTAGCCTAAAAGGTGCACACTGTATGATTGCGAGTAGATGAAATTCAAAATCCAGCAAAACAAAGGTACGATGAATGGCAGCGGTGGTGGCTAATGCAGTGGAAGCAGTGGCCCGGAGCTCTGGCAATGGTGATGGTCTCTGACAGGTGGTAACACACAGAGTCTTTGCTATATGTTTGCCTGCAATTATTTAAAAAACAAACTGAGTGCTGCTATTTGTGGGAGAGATGTCTTCATCTTATTGGTAATCCAGAAGTTCGATCACACTACAATGAATATTGTATTACTTTCATTCCAAAATTGAGGTCATAGCCTAAAGAAAAAAATCCACACAATAAATGAAAACCCTACTGTGCCATCACATTTTTTTCATTTTTTTTTTCAAAATCAGCATAAATGCCTATAACGCTTTACTCAGACATCTCAATACCAAATCTGAAATTTTCATATTAGTATGGTAGCTATTATCTACTAAAATACCGAACATATGCAATTCATGTGTTTAATTAGTGTTTTAAATTTTTGGCAACATTAAAGCATGGTCTGAGAGCAAAAGAAAAATTGCAGACTAATAGATCTTCTGAGAATAGCCCATAATACATCAACACAAATGGTTGTTGAACCTCTTTCTGTACAGATTCTGAGCCAATGAGTTATGGGGCAAGGACTCGGTGGAGCAGAGACCATTGTGTGAAACACCCCAGGAGAAAAGGGGAAGCTCATCAAAGAGGTAATTTCACACTCTCCCCTTTCCACCAGGAAAAGATGGAGGTCAAAGGATTTCAATGCTAAGAGCCCCACATTCATAGAAGAAAATATCAGGAATGAAGTATCTCAGTTCCACTCTGAAAGCTAAGATACAATTAATAAGTCAAAAAGATGACTTTGAATGAGGTGGTTACTACTAAACAGGCACTTTATGAGACAAAGAAGGCCGTGCTAGCACACATCACAGGGGCACCAGCCCCATTGTCTTAATACCAGGCTTCACATACACTTGCTATGCCACCCCTTGTACTGCATCATGTTAGTTTAATACTTTCATTCTGCAGATGAAAAAAACTAAATTGGATAAACGTCAATGAACATGCCCAAAGCTACTGCATGGGGATCCTCTCACCCCCATAGCACCTGCTGACCACTGTGCCTAGCTGCTGCTTCAGCACCAACATTTTAGAAAAGAGGAAGTGCGTGAGCAGAGGCACAAACAGTGGGTCCCATGCTGGGTGGCGTGGATAGCTTGAGAATGGAAGTGTAAAATCACAATGTTTCTGGACAGAGAGCTGGGGAGTTCTTCAGTGCTATGGCAGTGGGTGCTCAGGAGCAGGAGCAGAAGAGAAATCTAATGATTCTTATCAGATGATTTCCTTGTGCAAAGACCCCACTGGAGTGAAGGGTTAGGTTGCCTGACTGAAGGCCTACATTCTAAAAAGCTGGATGTGGGAACTCATCTGTCTGAATGCAACTGTAGAAATTTTTCCACTGCTTAAGGGCATCATCAAGAATATTTTGGTAAGTCAGGCATGGTGGCGCATGCCTGTAATCCCAGCATTTGGGAGGCTGAGGCAGGAGGATCGCTGTGAGTTCAAAACTAGCCTGGGCTACATAGTGAGTTTCAGGTCAGTCTCAACTACATAGTGAGACCCTGTCTCAAAAAACCAAAAAAAAAAAAAAAAAAAAAAAAGAGAGAGAGAGAGAAAGAGAATTATTTTAGTTGTGTCTTATAAAGCCTGGAAAGACCAATTTGTCTACAGGAGATGGAGTTGGCTGGTCAGGTTACAAGCAGACAATGACAATCCTGCCACTGGGAGCAGTGTAATGTAGTAGTTACCTAAAAAAGACCACTTGGACTCATATCCCAACTCCAACATCTACAGCTGCACAGACCAGGCAAGCTGCTTAAACTGTGTGTGTTTCAGGCTCCTTAATTTGCAAAATAGGATAAACTTAACTATCTCATAGGAGTATTGTAAAGTTTAGGTGCAAATACAGATTTTATTTTAAATGCCTGGCATGTTCAAAATATTACATGTTTGGCTGTTACTAACATAAGTATCAAGGAGAATAGATTTTATGGACTGAATATGTATATCCCACCAAAATGCATATGGAGAAATCTGCTCCTCTAGGTGATCACAGAGGAGGTGGGCCTTTAGGAGGTGATTAAGTCATCAGGGTAGAGTCCTGATGAATAGGATTAGTAGCCTCATAAAAAGAGAGCACAGAGCTGGTTCAGTGCTGAACTGAGTGGCCCAGAAGCCAAGCCTGCCGACACCCTGATCTCAGCTTCCAGCCTCTAGAACTGTGAGAGGTGAAGTTGTGTTGATTATAAAGCACTGGGCGTATGGTATTTCCTTAGACGGCACAAGCAGAGTCACAATACAAAAGTCAAGAAAGATTTCGAAGCCTTGAGATATAATTTGGCTAGCTTGATTTGTTTTTCTAGTTGTTCAACAACAAAAATAGAAAGAAATATGCAGAAGTTGTATCTGAATCACAGAAAATTATTGATATTCAGTCTTTTTTTGTCTATGAAATAATTTTATTTGACTTAAATTGTTATCAAAAGGGGAGACATAAGGGTTATTTTTCCTGGTTGTTGAGATGGAAAGGCCAGCCATGAAACTAAGGCTGTGAGTTGCATGTAAAGTTATCCCTCAGGTAACCCTGACCCCCGTGTGGTCCACAGTCATTGCCAAATGCGTGTTGCAGTTGGCCATGTGTACATGGCATTGGGAGACTTTGGTAAGTGAACTTTTAAGTGGGCGGCAAGAGTCAGAATTCTCAAAGGTACCAATGATGTTCCCCAAACTAAATGGTAGGGCCTTTCTCAAGATGTAGCTTCAATTTACATCATGTTTAAATGGAAAGAAGTATGAAGCAGCCTCCTTCTAGCACCTACTCCTGCCCACTGCAGGGAGTGCCAGCATGGGGTTCCCGTGGGTAAGTAAATACCCAGCCTATTTCAACCTACAGTTATTGTAATCCACCTAGAAAGGTATAAAATAAGTTTTCCTCACCTATCCTCAATAACTGATCCCCTTCCCTAAATAAACACTTTTAAGAATTTTTCAAGTATTTAATCAGAATATGTTATGCTTTTTACTTGTATTTATGTTTATGCTTTTTTCAATTTAAATGAAAACTTAACATGCTGCTTTTTTGCCTTTTTTACTTAAAGATTGTCTTAGTCACTTTTCTTGCCTCTGAGACAAAATACCCCACACCCACAATTTAAAGCTAGATGACCAAGTTCTATTTGGAAATCTTTTCATTATGTACAGCATCCTGAAGTGAATTAGCAGAGCTGAGGAGTCATGAAGTCCAGCTACCAGAATACTGAGAGTCCTAACACAAAAGTGGCTGACAGGCTGGAAGAAAAACTGGTGTAGAATTCCACTGCACAGATATGCCCCTGATTTTTTTTAAAGTCCCCTCTTTGCAATCTTTTTGTTTCACTCAGTTCTTTGCTATTAAAAATGCTGACATAACTAGTAATATTGTTGGCACAGGGATGTACTATTTTTGATGCAATCTGTTCATTGCAGGACATTCCAGTTTCTAGATTTGTCCTTGAATTGATCCAATATTCATTATCGTTTGAGTTTAAAGTATTAGTCATAATTTATAATCTGGGATTCAGAAAAACTAAGAAACATACAGAAAAATCTGTTGTCAGGCTTATAAAACATTTCAAGTTAAATATTTCCAAATGTAAGCTGCTACACTTGACAGATTTAACAGATTAAAAAATACAGAGCACCCAGAGGCCTGAGGGATAGTTCATGGAAAGAGAGCTTGTTCCACATGCACAAGACCCTGAGTTTTATTTCCAATATGACAAAAAAAAAAGAGAGAGAAAGCAAACAAGCAACACCAGGGGGCTTGATTAAATTTGAATTTTGTAAGTATAAGTATACTTTTGTAAGTATTAAATTTATAAGTATAAATTTGTGCCATACAATATCTAGGATGGAATTATACTTGAAGAGAATGCATTGCTTATATGAAATGCAAATTGAACTATGTATCCTGTGTTTATCTGGATACGCTACTCTTCCATTTCTCCTTCTAGCTAAAAATACCCACTTCCTGTGACTATTTCCCATTTGGTTTTATTCTCAGGTGAAGTCAGTTGGGGTAACCTGTAAACCATGACACCAGAGCTTCAGAGAGGCCCAGAGATTGTCAATGGTTTTGTTACCGCATTTAGCACTGTGTCAGCCACTTTACCCATCTTATCATAATTGTAGCCCTAACACCCATGAGTTTTAAAAGTGGATCACATTTGGATCCTACCATAGACAGAAATGGGACGATTCCCCAGTGAAGGAGAAGAGACACCTCTGCTATCTATAAATGTGCTACCCCAGAGAGCAGTTGGACAGTCCTGCTTTGCAACCTCACATCCTCGGGCCACTCTTCACCCCAGCACAAACAGAAGTAGTAGAATTTTCTACTTTCTATTCTTCAGAGTAGAATTTTTCAACTCAAATAATCTGCACACTCCGACCATAATGCCAAGCACAACGTTAACTGGTACTTTTTCCTAAATGCAACCATTATACTGTTATTATTCAATACTTATTTGAAGTTTCTTTTTTATATTTTTTAATTCCCTGTCAATGTGTCAAATTGCTGGATCATTTTTTTTAAACATTTCAGTAGCCAAGAGAGGCAAGTTTCCATATAACACATCATATTTCTACTCAATTAATTATTCATCAAGCAGATCCTGTGAGCCAGAGCACAGGCAATGGATCCATTTATTTTGACACTTTAACTACTAGTTTGGATGGGCCGTGTCGCTAATCAGCTGAATTCAACTGGTTGTTAATGAGAGTAAACACAAACAGTTCATAGAACATGGATTTGGCTTTCTTTTTAACTCATGAAAAGAAGCGATTAAGAAAAGGAAGAATATCGAATGAAGGGAGACAGAAATGACAGTGCAAAACGGGAAGAGATGGTGCAGAGGCAGGGCAGGCGGAGGGCATGAACTAGTCTCCCTATTCCCCCTCCTCCTCCTCTCACCAAGTCCAGGTTATTCTACTGGCCATGACTTTCTTAATCCACAGGACTGGGGATTTAGCTCAGTGGTTCCACTGCTTGCCATGCAAGTTCAAGGACCTGAGTTCGATCCCTGCTACCAAAAAGCATCACATTACACTCCTCGTTTTCACTCAGTGGTGTTTTCTGTGCTAGGGTTTAAAAATCCACACTGCAGTTTTTACTACTGTGTACATTGTCACTGTAAAAATACACTACAGTCTTTTCAGTCCCCTCTTAAGGTTTGCATTTCTTGCTATTACAAACAATGTTGCAATAAATGTCCTTGTTCCCTTTTACATACATCCAATGAGTTTCCATAAGTATAATCTCCAAAAAATAAGAATTTTCAAGTCAATGAAAATAACACCGTTAAATAGACCGCCAATTTAGAAAAGGTCTGAAAGGTTTGTCCTCTAGGAGGAGACTGGTGTGACAGCTGGAAGGATTTTATATTACTTTTTACCAAATCACTTTTTACCAAAAAAGTACATTAATTTACTAATAATGCCTTCTAAAAATGAATTTTTAGAAACAAAATACATCAATGGCTTAAATAATTTCTGAGTGCCAAAGAGACCTGTGTTTGCCAGCTTTCCATCACTATGAAGAAACACCTAAGAAAATCAACTTAAAAGGATGAAATATTATTTTGTCTCACAGTGTCAGAGACCAGTCCATGGTT